TATTTCGCGGGATCATAACCCCGACTACATGCGTTCTGTGGTCTTTACCTCCTATAACGCCAATATCTGCATTGCTTTGAACTGGAAGCAACCGAACTGTGAGTTATCCATGCCTTTACAGGCATCATTTAGAAGCAATATGGCTAATGTTCACTTCCTATCTCAGACCCCGTCCTTCTTTGCAATGATCTTGGCCAAATCCGCGACTTGGCCCGTGACGTTAAGTCTTTGCCAGACGTTGACAGTAGTGGTCGAGCTTCTATGTCCATCAAGGAATCTGCGCGGATAGCACAAAGTAACAATCTCATGGGCTTGATATGCCGTTCTAGTCTCTTGGTATGTTGTGCTTCGTCTGCTTCCCACACTGATACTCTACGACAGTCTGCCCAAGAGATCGAAAACTAACAAACTGATGCCATAGAACGTTGTACCGGCGCTTGTAGAAACTATCAAGGAGCTTGGCCTCGTGCTAGTCGCGGATACCTCCGATGACTCCGAGCAACCCGACCAACTAGACGCCATGCAAGTCGCGAGCCCATTGGGCGTGGCTGAATGGGCATACAGGATGCCAGACGGTGTGAATGGTGTTATGAAAGCCAATGGCATCCTGAAATTCAACGATATGATTGACATGTGATACGCCGTCTCGAGTCTTCTCTTTCGCATACATCTCACCTTTCCTTCACGACCTTTTCGTCGATATGTATCTCGGGCGTCAACAGATCCCGAATTATTGTAATCATGTCAGTCATATATGTTTGTTTCACTGTGAGGTCATTTCTTTACATGGGGTCGGGTCTATTCGCTATTTCTTGCACTGCATGCCTGGACGAACTTGTGTCATTACCTTTTCATAACGCTTGACTCAATATTGCTACATGTTGTGGGTTTTGGATACTCTAGACTGATGTCCTTTATCCTTTAATGTCCCGTCTCATCTTTTCTTGAACGTTTGTACCCTGTCGTCCTTCTTGGCGATCATGATTGACAGAAATACCCGGCTCAATATCTCTGAGTGGAGAAGGACACTGCGCGCGTGTCCTGCAAAATTATATGTAACAGCTAGTGTACATCTCTATAAATATAATATCTTGTTTTGAAAACTCTTCGCAGAGCCATTTCCGGCATTAATCGTCCCAACCATCATACTCAAACACATCTTCAATGGCACCTACATGCCCTTCGGCCTACCCTTGACAATATCCCAGCCCCAGCCCCTCAGGACCTTGACAACGTTGGGAGTGATCGCAGCCGTCAGGGGCACCCGGATAAAGATAAGACTCTTGTGAACCGCATAAGCAAGGGCAAGTTGCGTCCAGAGACCTGCTCAATAATGAAGCAAAGTAATTAGCCGACACCTCTCTTATACCTACGGATGCAGCCAAAGCAAAGGGGGAAAAGCAAAAGCCACTTACTAGCTTCACCACCATTGGCCTTATCCTCGCTCGCCTCCTTCGACTCCTGCTCCGCCTGACTCTGCAATGCAGCAGCAGCCTTCTCCTCCTCCTCCGAAGGAGGCCACACCTTCCGAATAGCCCCCTTCACCGACTCCGAAATAACATGCTCATAGTGGCCAATCCGCTCCACGCCAGCCAACCGAACAGCCATAAAACAGAGCGGGAAATCCACCGCCGACAGGATCAAATACACCCACAGCGCGGACCATCCGTACTCCTTCGACAGCGTGCGAAGCCGCTGTGAAAGAGAGGGTGCTTGCTGCTCTGATTGCGCTGAGCTGTTTGACCGAGCGGACCGGAAGAACGACCGTCGGAAGATGTTCCCTGGTTGTTGAATCTGGCCGCTCCTAAATCTCATTTGGGAGGAGGACGAGGGGCTGCGGGTCTGGAAGCTCAATGCGCGTCTGCTGGGCATTCCGAAGGCCCGGCTTAGGAGTGGGGAGGAGGATAGGGACGATGTCCTTGTTGTTGTGGATGCAGGTGGCGCATTTTGGAGAATTCTCGACGCTTGAGAGAACAGGCGCGATAGGTGAGACTGTCGTAAGCTCATTTTGTTCTGGGCTTAAGGATGGTTTTGTCCGAGTGCGTGCAAATGGGGGTGCGTGGCTTTGCTGTAAGAGGTTGTGAGTCTTTCCGGTTAGGGTCTTCGGAAAAGAACGGACAAATCGTGGGGGAAGATGGACAGGCAAAAGCACCAAGAAATCCTCTTCTTATATACTCGCGGATAGCGACGGTCTAGAAAGCAGAAGAAGCCGAGACGGCAATGCAGGCCTGAATGCAAGTGAGATTGGGGATGACGTTGCGGCAGCAGATCGTAGGATCAGCTTCCCTCCCGTCTTTTTTTTATACACTTCGGCGCCGCCATCGGCGTGCCGGCGTGTCCGGTTCCCGATTGGCAACTGGCAATCGGAGCATGGATCGACTGCTCGAAGAATGCATGCTCCAAGCTTGTGGTGTTAAGTTCCGCCATCTCTTCGGCGTTTGTTCGGCTTAGGACCTTGAAGGCGTCACCTGAGCACTACTAGGCCTTCAAATGTATTTTTTGCACGTCTACTGGCACCCTGGTAAATAAGCGTTCATACAATACTAAGTAGAGTAACCCATGTTTACCCGCATGTATCAATGCCTGAGGATCATAGCCAGGCATCAAACTGGCATCCGCGCCGCGCGCACCTACACACCGCCTTCGAGGCTCTCCGGCCCATCCTCGACGGGGTCTCCGCACGTCTTGCCAAAAATCTCAGCGGCAGAAAAGAGTGAGAGTTGAGAGTATATACCTCCCCCATCACCTCCATTCGCCATGTCCCCTCGTATGCCCGGGAAGCTTTCCCAGCTTCCCCTGACGACAATCTGGGCGTCTCAATTCCCGACTTCTTCCGTCCGCAGCAGCCAATTGTCCATCACCTCAGTCCGCTCCTTCGGTATCCGGTCCTTGAACCCCCCGGAGACTTCGCGCTTCAACGTCAGCCATGACCTGCCCGTGCTGAAATCGACGCCCACCGCCGCCCTCGAGCGCAAGGCCAACACTCTTCCCCTGCGGACCGGTGCCATCACCTTCAAGAAGGGCATGACCGCCCTGTATGACCCCGAGACCGGCAAACGTGTTCCCTGCACCGTGCTGCAGCTCGATCGAGTCGAAGTCGTCTCGCACAAGACTCGCCAGAAGCATGGATACTATGCTGTTCAGCTGGGTGCTGGATGGAGGCGTCCCGATAACTTGACCAAGTCCCTGCTCGGTCATTTCACTGCCAATGGCATCTCGCCCAAGCGTCATGTCTATGAGTTCCGGGTTAAGGATGAGAGCGGGCTTTTGCCTGTTGGGCAGACTGTCAGTGCGGACTGGTTTCAGGAGGGACAGTTCGTTGATGCGAGGTCTAATACGAAGGGTAAAGGCTTCGCGGGTGTTATGAAGAGACATGGTTTCGGTGGTCAGGATCGCAGTCACGGTGTATCCTTGACGCATCGTTCGCTTGGTTCCGCTGGTCCTAGTCAGGGCGGTGGTTCTCGTGTTTACCCTGGAAAGAAGATGGCGGGTAACATGGGTAATGAGCAGAACACGGTTCAGAATCTGAGGATTTTGAAGGTGGACGCTGAGAATGGAATTGTTGTGGTCAATGGTAGGATACCCCGAAATACTCCTCTGTTCAAGTCGATTTCATATATGTGAAAGTTGATGCTAACTTTTGGGTTTTAATAGGATCCGTCAGTGGTCCCAAGGGCTGCGTTGTCCGGATACAGGATGCTATTAAGAAGCCGTGGCCGGAAGCTTCCCCTGCGACTACTGAGGCTTCTGAATAATTCAACCGCACGCGCTTTCTGTTCTTCTTGTGATCTTTTGTCAAATGTACTACTACTACATTGTATTGTTTTTTAAGAGCGGCGTCTGTATATGATACATAAATGATATCCCTTTCCAAAGTGGTGGTTCCTATATTTTTCTCCTCCTGATAGGCGCTCTCAAATAGCGCTTCCACTCCGACACAAGAGACATAAATCTGCTCAATGAAAGGATGAGTGTGGGGGAAAGGGAGAGTGAGACGCTTTCCGAAGCCCGAACGCCTTAGCCCAATGCACATGACTGATATGATATATTTACATGCACAAATCTCCAAACACCACGTAACAAGCAAGTATACAGCCCGAACAAAGAGGGCCAAGTAGTCGAGTCAATCAATTGGTCTGATTGAAGGGGTCGGTATCTTTGTCAAGTAGCTGGATAACCGTGCCATCCTCGGTTTCCAAGCTCCATACTTCCGTGCGGAACTATAGAACGAACGTTAGTAGGTGTTCTTGAACCATTGAAAAACCGAAAGCAAAGACTTAGGTCAGAAAGAAAGGTTATGGGGTAGACGAACAAAGCTAGTCCGGTCAGGTCTAATACTGCGAAACCGCATTTTACCCTGGGCCTTGGTACCCTTAACCCAGAATGAAATATCAATGCGACCATGAAGCTGGTTCATCTCTCCACTAATCCACGGGATCTTCTGAGCAAAGTAAATCTCATCACCCAGAACCTCCCTCGCCTGCGGAGAAGTCCTCAGCGCATACAGCGTACTGTTAACCACACTGGAGGAAGATTTCTGGTAGTTGAATATACCCAGCATAGCGGCCCCCACGACAACAGCAAAGATGGGCAAGGTTCGTAGCCATCGCCTCTCGCTTTGAACATTGGGTAGAGCTCTGTCCGCCCGTCTTTCCATAAGAGGGCCCGAGTTCGCCTGTGGTGCGGGGATCAAGTTGCGCCGGGGAGGGAGCATTCCGCGATGATTTACGCATAGTCGAGAAGCGCCGATGCGCCTCTCTGCGAGTCGTAGGAGCATCTTTTGAGAAGTATTAAAGATCAATTGGCTTTCGACGTGTGCCGTGTGTCTTGCGCGGTGTGGCGTGACCTCTGTGCTTTATTGTAACGCGGGAATTGGCAGTGGTAGTAGGCCGTGGTTGCTGAATGCTCCGAAGTCCGAAACCTGAGGCGGGAATGGTGAACTAAAACGGTCCGTACCCTTGGCAAACGAGACAAACTCACGCCCAAGCTAAAGGGACCTTGTGTGCTTTTAGACCTGAGCGACGTCATCACCAACTCTCTAGTGCTCTCTACTACCTTCACAGCAGACATACAATTGCAGCGATGGCAACGGCAAGGCTTCGCAGAGCGTTTCGCTACCCTGACGATTCAGGCGATGAAGAGCACAGTCGGGAGGAGCTGGACGAAGAAGGTATGCACTGTCAGATGCCCAGGCAGGAAGCCATTCTAGACGACGTTGCTGACGGTCCGACAGAGCAGGAACGTGTGATAGAGCAGCTGAAAGCACTGGATGAGAAGCGGAACTCTGAATATAGTGTAAATATATCTCCTACAGGAAACAACCGAACTAAAAATGAGAGCATTTGCTGAGTGCCAATCGACGCATTTATATAGATCGTTTTCGCCGCCATCCCGCTATTTTCCAGCTTCGCTTTTATTGCTTCAATACTGTCGGGCTCCTCGAGCCTATCTGAACGATGCCTTTCTTTGCTCGGTACTCTATCTTTACTAGTCACAGCTTATATCATGAAGTATCTCCCACTCGAACGCCCGGATCCTAAGGGCAAGAGACCAATGACCACACCGCATGCTATGGCGAGCATCCGGCCATACATCTTGCCTGTCAATGCTGCGATCTGCGTGCTTCTGGCCCTGGTCTACGCTTCGCAACCCACAACGCAATCCTGGCTGGAGATCCAGCCGGTTATCTACTTGGTTCCAGGAGGTAGGTGATCTTCAGCATCCTTGCTTTGCTTAGCTGCTCTGAGTCTTTGGTGGAAAGATCGGACGAGTACTGACACGATATAGCAATGTTTGCGGCTGTCCTAGTCGCACGCAAGGTCATGCTTTCGGTTGACCTTAAGACTCTTGAGAATCTCCGCTATCAGTACAAAGGAGCATAGAGCATGCTACAATTATACAGCCTTTTTGGGTCAAGCACGGCTCTACGGGCAATCACCTAACAAGACGCGGGCGACAGTTATACGCTCATGGTCTCGATATTTCAGCGAGTGTGCAAGACTTAAGTTCGATCCTGAATTCGTCCGCTGATACCAATGCCAAGATATGCCTGCTCGCTATTTGTGGAAAAGTGAAAACAATAGAAGAAAAAAAAAGTATAACGCCTGACATGCATAGAGCTTTAACGACATGGGGAATTGCTGCAGCGCCCTGGAACTTGTCACTGGCCGGAGAGATCAGGTACACTCATAAACGAGCCGTCAAGCTTTTCCAGGGCCGGATCTACCGGTATATCGCCATAGTCAGGCGCATACTCTGTTACCGAAGGCGCCTCCTCAAGCTGAATGCTATGCTCGACCATTGACCGGTTACGCTTCTCGTCGGCTTCTTTTTGGTGCTTTTTTAGCCGTTTGACCTCATCATCGCCGGCCTTCTTTAGCCATCTGAGGTTGGATTGTCGGAAATCCACCAAGCTCTCCACACTTCGAGGGTCGGCTATCTTCCGAGTGTCGTGCCCCAACAATGTGCATGTCGGCTCAAAGGGCGTCATCGTAGGATCGCGACGACAAGTAGCACAACTGCAAATCTTGCGGCACTTTGGGCACTTCCACTCGAATGCCTCCATTGTCTCCTGCGGCTTTATATTGAAAGCCCTAAACAAGCTACCATAACAGTAATTCGCCCGGCAGCTAGAACAGGAGGCAAGCTTCCACCTTGGCTCGGCATATCTACAGATATGGCAATTCCCAGTCTGCTGGAGTGCGTCAACCCGACGAGTTTTCCTGCGTTTGCGCGCGGAATCAAGTCGCTCTGAATCACTTTCCAGCTCTTCCAGCCGTTCTGACTGAACGGTTGGCTTACTTATGTCGACCCATGGCCGCCTCCCGAGTTCCAATTGGCAAACCTCTGCAAGTGTTCTCTTCTCCAGCCGGCTCCTTTGCGCCGGGAGACTCACGAATGTTTCTCGAGCTTGAGAGTTGATGTCGAGTATTTGCAGCCTCCAGGTCTCATATTTGGCTTGAAGCTCATCCCAAGGGAATTGCTCAACCCATCTAAGCTTAGCTATGCAAGCACAGCTCCTGCCCATCGCATAGCATTCCATGCAAATATCATAAGTGTCTTCCTCGTCTGTGTTCGTTGGTCCCACACAAGACGGGCAAGTTAGGAACCTGTTGAAAATATTACCCCGGCAGTATGAACAGGTAATATTACTGTCAAAAGCAACATATTCAACATCCTCTTCGGGTAGTTGGTCCGAGAAACTCTCAGACAAGATGATGTCAGTAAAGAGACCGAAAAGGTGCTCGAAATCTTTAACTATCTGCTGAAGTGTCGAATCACCACTGTCAACTGTATCTGCCTTGCGGAGGATGGCCGAGTAATGCTCCAATGAGTAGAACACTATCGCTTTGTTCTTGTACTGTTCGTCTCGGCAAACCATCCTGGCGTGAGGAAGAGCCTCGGTGAGCGCTTTCTCCAGGGTCTCCGGGGTTGTACGATTCCAAGCCACTTTCATTGTCCTTGTCCCTCGATTCCACACTTGGTGTGCTGCTAAAGGGGGTATGAGGATGAAGTCGCCCGGTCGTTGCTCGACAACGTAAGTCTTGAAAGGCGCTGCCTTCCACGCATTTATTTGCGCAAAATGATCCTCAATATCGATATCGTGGCCTAGAGTTGACATCCAATATTCCGAGACTACCCGGCGATCTTTGCTCTCGGTCATGAACCAAATAGACGACCCCGGCTTCGTTTCTTTACCATATTCAGCGGAACCATCCGATGCCTCCACCATGATGTTCTGGCCCAAACTAGCACACATTTCCTGGTGAGCTGGTGTATAGGTACCTTCGTGGCCAATGTAACACATCAGATTTTCTGCACGCATGCTAGGAGGGAGGCAACTCATAAGATCCCCAGGTCTGGCTATTGGGCCATTTGATCCCGAAGACTTTTTATTTCTGTTGGAAGATGTACTTCTCTTCGCTCCCGGACCGTCAAAGGTTTCCTGAAACTGATTCAAGTAAAATAATCCGGGGGGGATTATCCTTTTCAATTGCTCGCGCCACTGATAAGGGCAGTCAATGTCCTTGAGATAGATTCTCTGACGTTCGGGATCTTTGTAGTTATATGACGTCCACTGGTTTGCTAGAAGGGGCATGTTCTTCAGGTAATGGCCAATAGTAAGAGGTAAATCAGTTTTTGTGGTCAAATTCCGAGCACATTCCGCTGTGTCGTAGAGGCTCTGAGTTAGATAAGGAAGTCAGCATAGACGAGAGAAACATCACTCACTCACTTTTTGATGAATAGTGAGTTCTTAGCCACTTCTCCGAGAAGATCGTGTTATTGAGCCGGTGATTGAAGCCCTCGACTACCAAAGGCTTTCCGCCCCGAACCACATGGAGCAAGACGAGCTTCTCAAATATCTCTAGCCCATTCTCATCAATCATATCGCAGTGAATCCTGGCAGCTTCCTGAAAGTTTGGTGTCGAGTTCACAAGTGCTGTGAGGTCCAAGTCTGGAGAAAGTGGCTCAAAAGCCGCTCGGGGTCGCTGGGCGGGCATCCTGACGGGGTTCCAACTATCTGATATAATTGGCGATATCTCCAGGGTAACGATCACCCTATTTTGCGATATTAGACAAAGCCAACACTTTTTGCTCCCCGTAATATAGCATACTCCTAAATAGAAAGCTTCTGAATGGACAGCTGCGCAGAAGCTGTGTTCTCCGGGAATCGTGTAAAGAATTGTCGGAGTGCACGTATACCAGATCACTCATGGATATCGCCCGCGAGAGGTATTCAGGCTTCGTGGGACCGAGGTTAATGCGCTTCAAGAAACAGTCCGGTAGGGCGTACTTCATCACTTGCCCACAGACGCATATCGCGCGGTCATCACAGTAGCGAGCAACAGGCGAGTAACACCACAAACTTGAGACAAAAAAAGCAGTCGCTTTCTGCTCAAGCTGTACCTCGCTTCCCAAATGATGAAATCAAAAAGAGCATTTAATATCTATTGACACCGCGCGGTTGTTGATTGTCTCGATTCACTCTGGCTGCAGCTGCATCCGCGATTGTGGCATGTGGGTCCCGTCCGGCGCGGGCCCAGGAACGCATGGAACCACTGCCGAAAAAGGCTCGAGAACACCTCCGGACGCCAATATACCTTAAATTTCGCGCATCATAATAAACCTTTTGCTCTCCGGATCAATTTCCTTGGGGGTTGATTTTCGGAAGCTTCTGCTCCTGGTATGGGAATTGCTCGGTGATAGCTTCGTCTTACGCCTTTTCTGCTTCAATTCTTCTCACCTGCTGGTCAATTGGCTCGGATAGCGTCTATTCTGGTTGGCGTACGGATTTCATCTGCCTAACCGCCGTGCCAGTTCGATTCGTTGTCTCCGTGTACAATAAGATTGAAACTGCTGGCCATACACGGTGCCAATTGCTACGCACCATCGTCTCGATATCCCCATCCGGATCATGATGAGTGCCTGGGCCACTTGCTTGTTAGCCGGCCGGCATGCACGATTATGTCGCTATCCTAGGGAAAGGAGCACATATATATACCGATGCATCCCTATACAGGGACATGCTGGTCCAGTTTCGCTATCATCTTCTAGGAGATATGGTTATACTGCGACCAACAGCATTCAATCGGCCTACCGAAAATCGAATATTACAACCCACAACCGCCATCCCCGTCGGTCAGCCCTTATTATTAGCCACGCACATAGTACGACAAGCCAGGCCTCAGTGAAATGCTATACGCCACCAAACAAAGGCCTTATTTCTTATTTGCCTCCGTCATGGATACCGTACGCTGAGCTGCTACGCCTCGATAAACCGACAGGTACATACTACCTTTTCTTCCCCTGCGCATACTCTACTCTACTTGCGGCGTCCATTGCGCCGTCCGTCCCGGTCTGGGAGGTCGTTGGAACTACCGGGCTTTTCTTTGCTGGTGCGTTGATTATGCGCGGTGCCGGATGTGCAATCAATGATCTATGGGATAGAAACTTGGATCCGCATGTCGAACGCACGAAATTCCGCCCGATCGCAAGAGGAGCAATTTCTCCTGGCAAAGCAGTGCTTTTCACGGGCTCTCAGTTATTAGCAGGACTCGGTATTCTTCTTCAATTTCCGTATCAATGCCTTTGGTACGGTATACCCAGTCTTCTTTTGGTGACCACTTATCCTCTTGCTAAGCGCGTTACATATTACCCCCAAGCTGTGCTGGGCCTTACTTTCTCATGGGGTGCAATTATGGGCTTCCCTGCGCTGGGCATCGACCTTCTCAATAATGGCGCCGCACTGGAAGCTGCTGCTGCGCTTTACGCCAGTTGTGTGACCTGGACGGTTCTGTATGACATGATATACGCGCATATGGACATTAAAGATGACGTTGCGGCTGGCATTAAGTCTATTGCTCTTCGTCACGAAAAGAACACAAAAGCTGTGCTTTCAGCTCTCGCCGCCGTACAGGTGCCGTTACTCGCCGCTGCAGGTGTAGCAGCGGGAAGCGGGCCTATCTTCTTCATCGGCAGTTGTGGCAGTGCGGCTGTCTCCCTCGGTCTCATGATCTGGAAAGTCCAGTTAAAAAATGTACAAAATTGCTGGTGGTGGTTCAAGAACGGTTGCTTGCTCACCGGTGGAGGTATTACCCTGGGAATGCTCCTTGATTATGTCGCGCAAACCACAGGGTTTTATAAACCGGTTGAGGAGCCGGTTTCCCTTGAAAGCTGATAGAAACAAAACCTTTTACTTCTGTCTTTTCAGGCCCTGGAGCCCTACTTAACCTTATTGTTCATCGTCCTTGCCAATACCCAGGTACTGCTCCACCTTACCGACTATCGATCTCCATTCCATCATGCCGCCGACGCCTGTATCGCCGCAAGCAAGATCTTTCTCTATCGGGTGAAGTACGGAAACCCAGCCCTCAGTATTGCTAGAGTTCACGCCCCATTCACCTTTTAGTATAGCCAGTTGCTTCTCGGTTATTGGATGCTTCCACATTGCTGTATTCATGGCAGGAGCGACAAATACAAGGGGCTTCTTCTCCTTGAAACCGACATCTACCATTCCCGTCGTGTCCCATGCTCTCAGGACCGAAAGAAGAAGGTTATCGGAGATACCCATGGTCATCTTGGCCATGGTATTGGCGGATAAAGGTGCGATGAGTAAGAGGTGTGCCCATTTTCTTAGTTCTATATGTAGGATTGGCTCGCCACGAGTCCAAGGGTGCCTCCACTCATCCTCGTCTCGGTAAATAGCATCCACACCAGGAAGCTCGAGCAGACTTTCGAGCAATGGTTGCTCGTGACTTTGCCCCTTTAGAAATTCTGCCGCTGATTTTGTAACGATTATGCGGATAGAAATGTTGGAATGGCGGCTAAGGGCTTCCGCAATATTGGGGAGTTTGATGGTCGCAACTGACCCGCTGGCTGCAAGAAGCACATGGATTTTATTGTCACCCAGGTAGTGTTGGGCGTGAAATGGAGCTTGTGAGGATTCCATCCGGTTCTTGTAAAGATCCTGGCCGGGTTGGGCAAACGATCTGATGAATGCTAATGTTAGGATGGCGGGTGATAATTTTCACACTTGTAGTTGCGGGGTGTTTTGGAGAGCATACGCGGGGCGTTTTGGAGGAGTAACCCGTTTATCAACTACTCTGCTAATATTCTGCCGTAGCCTTCGCGGCATTCACAGTGTGTAACGTAAAGATCATTTACATAAGACTTTCAATACGGATTAACTATGGAACATTGCTATCCCTAATTGTCCACTCACAAGTTCACCAAGTTGAGATCTTGCTCTAAGATCAACAACGGGGAGCCGTAAGCTAACTTCACTAGATGTCTTATTTTGCCGCTCCTGATACTTCGAGTAGCAGCTATTATTTATTATGATTTAGTTCTGTAGAAAGAATGTACTATCTGTACACTGTTCCCGAATGGCATGGTTACCTGCTCCCTGGTCTTTTTAATCAAGTATAAAGTACTCCATGTCTGTGACAAGTTTGAATCACATGACTGCGAACTGTACCTTATTAATGTCAATGACTACAGTGGTTGCTTAGTGAGCATGTGTAGCTAGTTAAGTTCTCCGCATAATGCTACTAAATCCTCGGACTTCGGTGCATATAGACAAGCAGAGCTTGACTCCAGCGGCAATCTATTCGCATTTCTAGAAATTCACACGCTAATAATTTACCATGTTTTCTAGGACTTTGGCCTCATCGGTATGTACTGCGAACCCCTACTTTACTGATCTCTCAGTTATTCTCCTATTATTATTTTGTTCTTCATGAACAGATCAAGTTTACAATAATTTCTATTAGGCGTTTCGGCCGCTTTTCCGACAACCTCAAGCTTTGCAACCCAGATTTGCTGGCATTCAGCTGCGCTCTAACCTCTATGCCCGGTATCTGTCTTCGGAGACACGGACAGCTATTGACAAAGCTGTCGCATCTGCACCTGTCGTTCTTTTCATGAAGGGCACGCCAGAGACGCCGCAGTGCGGTTTCTCTCGGGCCAGCATACAAATTTTGGGACTGCAGGGAGTGGACCCGAAGAAATTCGTTGCATTCAATGTGTTGGAAGATTCAGAACTTCGTCAGGGTATGCTTTATAAATGGGCTCTCTGTCCTTGATCCCTATCTCAGGTCAACTAACACTAGGTCTCAGGTATCAAAGAGTATTCAGACTGGCCCACAATTCCGCAATTGTATTTGGAGAAGGAGTTCATCGGTGGTTGCGATATATTGATGTCTATGCATCAAAATGGAGAACTTGCTAAATTGCTCGAGGAGAAGGGGGTCCTTGTGGCGGCCGACTAATTTCGGGAAGGTGATATAGCGCAGCTGCCTCGATACACGTACTGTACATTTACATTCAAACCATCATACCGTTCTTCGTCTGAAGGAGAGAACCATGTCATCAGTAGATGCACTCATGCTCGTTGCTCAATGTCTGCCTTTCGTTTCTAGCGCGGTCGAGGATGGGGGGATAAAGAAGCTTATGTGAATTTTCATGACGTACGCCATTGTCACGCTATTGTCCAAATCTCATACTATTGAATTTAAAGTGTGTCTGTTTTGGGTGTGCACAAAAGCAGCTATAATATCGGAGTGCTGGTTTTCTCTATCTCCGGGCATCCCTCCCTTCCTCCGTTTTCTATATTACGTATAGTCTCGTGTTCTATGAAAGGGCACTTGCCCGGTTTTGTTATACATATTGCTATCTAGGCAGATGCCGACTCTTTGGACTTGACCAACTCCTCAACAGCACCCTTTTCGAGTTTGGCGCGCTGTCTTTCTTCATAGGCTTCCCTACTTTTCAATATCCTGTCGACGATCTCACCGGCATTCACATGCTGGTACGTATGGCTGGATGTCTCTTTGAAGATGCCCATCCGCTTGGGTGCCATATAAGGATCATAGGTGAGGGGTATGAACGTAGTAGGACCGTGGTAAACTGCATCTGGAACGCCCAAGGGCATGGCCTCCAGGTATGACTGACTTGGGGAGAACGGCGAGGAAAAGATAACCGCATGTATATACTAAAACCTGGTTAGCGGATTGATACTTCACTTTAAGGTGCCAGACTTTTTGGAAAACATACGCGACACTGCAGAACGCATAGTCCGCGTTCAAAGATGTTCATGATTGGGTAGTTGAGGCCTTTCCAATGGTTTATAACATCGTCGTCATGTATGCCAGCAACAACATAAGCAGGGCCATAGTCCTCTCCGTATTCTTTGACCCTCTTTATCTTTTGCTCTTGGTCATACCAACCACGCCGACGGCCTTCGGATTCCTCCTGCGTTAAGACCTGTCGAAGGAATTCGATATGCCCGGATGAGAACAAGTCAAATCCCCCATCCACATAGATAATTCGCTGCCCCGGCCTTGGCAACTTTCCGTTTACAATGGTCTCAAATGCACCAGGTTCCTCGACTGTGTTCCCAAGTTTCGCAGAACTCGATCCGTTCCAGATCCAAACCTGCGGGCCAGGCTGTAGACCCGTCTCGTCAGTGGCATAATCACGAATCCTTTTCATGAGGCTATCAGCCGAATGCTTGCGCTCTTCCAGACTTCCAGATCCTTCTTCTCCGTTAAGTGTATCCTTTACACTCTTGACGAAATGGTTCTTCGTACACAGAAGCATTCGACCAACAAGGTCTGTCGTGGATATCCCCGGCGTTCTCTTGACCACACGAAAGCGCCCTGCAGCTTTGACAAACCGGTAGCAGTCCTCCCCATTGCTGTCGGAGGTGATATCATCACCATGGACGACATACTTGCAGCCGTAGTGCGATACCCAAGGTAAAAATGTCACGTAAGGAGCAGAGGGAACGCAGCGAGTCACCCAGCGACATGCTTCCACTGCAGCTACTCTAGACTTGGTCAGAAGGCCACTGGGATGCTTAATATAGAAAAACTAACCTTTCATCCAGTGTCATAACTGTCGGCCCCTTATTCTCGAGGATTGCTTCGTCAGAGTGCACACCGACATAAAGCTCGTCTCCCAATTGGCGAGCCTGAAGCATAGCACCCGCATGCCCTACAAAACTCAGCCTTGTTAATGCATTGTGTGAAGTACGACCAAAGGGTGGCATACCATGATGGCTAAAGTCAAAGCATCCGTCTACCCAGATACGATTGTCCGAAATGGGTACATCAACTTGGGGGTCCACGGGCCACTCTCCTGGCGCGGGGATCATGTCTTCTGTAGTGGCGCTCATTTTTGTAGGGCGACTCCGTATGGAGGAGATGTAGACTAAGAAGCAATTGCCAGAGTTTTCAAATGGATCCCCTTTGGCCTTATGCTTGTATTGAAGCGTTCTGGTAAGTTGTCGACGGGTTGAGACCATGAAACGACCTAGGGTGTCCACCTACCTAACCCGACTGGGCGGGCTGAAGAGGGGCAATGTGGCATGCGGAGAAGGAGGCGGGATGACATCGTAGGATTCGGAACGGCGCGATACTGTATCAGTCCCCGCCTAGCATAACCTTTAGTGGTGCCTACACTTCTATACTTTCGATATACTTCAAAGGTACCTTCTGGTACAAATGTTTAAAGTAGTAGAACATCCATCCTGTAGTACCGTTGCATGAATTAAATGGGTTATAGACCAAGTCAGATTTCGTTAATCACTAGAGATACTGTACTACCACAGTGAACGTCCCGGTCAAGGAACTATATTCGTCAAGAGAAGTTGTTCCATTTAGAGATCGCGTGGGGAAAACGAGAGTTTTTTTTTTCGACCATGCCAGCAAGAAAGGGACCAAGAAAACCCCATCACATGTTATACTCTGAAATTATCGAGAGCAAACTGCCTTGGTGTGTAAATGGTATCTCTATCACTCAGTCACTTTACGTAGAAGTGGGTTTAGTTCAACATGTCTAATCCTCTATTCTGGTGCGTATATAGTGCTCATGTTAAATAAACACGCCGTGGGAAAACAGACAAGGTGATAAGAGCGAAAGAAGCGTCTAGAACTTTTGGTAGTACATGTCTCATAAGTTGCGCGTGATAGCAAAAACAAGAGGCGCTGAGGCAGGGCATCAAAAGACAATCACGAGCAGATGCGGTTTGGATCAATTGCAGAGGGGAGATCCATCGGGAATAGAAAACAAACGCTTCAATTAAGACATAACGATGAAGGCGGAAGACGGAAAAGAGAGACGCCAGTTAATGCAAACGCTCAAAAACCTATGACGAAAAGATAGACTAAGACCCAAGCCCCAGCTGTAGTTAGGATTGGAGCTTGTTGCTCTCGAGTTCGCGTTGTTCACTGAAAACTCGGCGACTCATCTCAAGAACAGCCTCGAACCCTTCTCGGCCCTTCTTCGCGTTTTGACTAAATCTCTCCACGCTAGCCTCTTCTACCTTATTTTTTATTTTCTGCCATCCGCCACACAGGGCAGTAATCTTCGCCTCTTGGTTGAAATCGGTAGTCGAGGATGGGTTTGACGGCGACGGCTGATAGATAACAGTCTCCTTGACGTTCAAAACGTTGGACCATGTAAGGTTGGTCGAACACATCGTAACCTTCTTCGAGATAGGATCGACGTAGGACACTTCGTAAACATGCGACGTAGCACTGCCTCCAAAGAGGGAAAGAACCCATTGCGGCACTGATTGGTTACAGGTGATCAGACGCTCTGTCCGCAGCTATAGAATAAGACAGTCAGCCAGTGTTGCACGGTAAGAATGAAAATAAGGCGATCGACACGTACAATGCCAGTATCAGCATCGACTGCCCGAGATAGGGTGTCTACTGCCACGACATGTGTAGACTTGTCATTCCATGGACAATATTTGCGCCAATTTGCCGCAGAAACCTCTTCCCACGAATAATCGAATGTGCACGTCGATGAAAAGACTCTCATGTCGATAGACTGCAATATGAAACGTCCCTTGGAATCGTAAAAGACAAAAAGAGTGGACGTATGCTTATAGAACACTTCGGGAACAAGAAGATGCACGTCCAAGGAGAAAAGAGAGCGAGCCAGACCGGGAGCGAAACCCAAGTCTGTGGCGGTAGGTGCTTCGGAGATAGGTTCTTATGAATTCGATAACTACGGGGAGTTCAGGATGTGGCGAATAATCAACTACTACAACATGAGTAATGAGAACTCCACACAAGTGGTTGTGAAGGCGGACGCAGTGATTGAGGGTGGCGATCGCCAATCTTGTGCAATATAGCGGAAGGATTGGTAGAAATTTTGAGAATTTTGGCCCCGGATTCCGCGTTCTTCTCCTGGACAAGCACAGTGGCGCCAAGGGTCGGGATTTACCGGTACAGTAATCAGACTCCCGGCCAAGGTCAAAAGACCGCCTTCAACTCCACAGAGAATACACTAATAGTTATTATGTGCATCTGACATCAGGCGCTACTATATCGGAGGGTCGATGTTAGTTTATGCCTACTATATCCAAACAAATTCCTGATGAACATCTTATGCTACCAATCATTTACTCATACTATAGGATATTTCAAGTACTTGAGGTCAAGATATGGCAGTTTCAATGATGGATGCTCTGGCCCCTTGTTTTTTTTGTATTACCAAACTTCTTTGAATATTCCAATAAGAGCTTGCATTGTTTCTTGATAATATTAACATCCGGCATATGGTTTCAAAAGTAATGGTCAACACTAAGAAGACACATGCTTTTGGTGTACTTGGAGGGAACCCCAATTTGGTTGGGGGATGGGAAATCATGGGTGATAGATACGTTACTTGGTTACATAGGCAAGCACTTACTAACTAGTTGTTTACATACCCCTGTACTAGAATCCTTGCCATTTTTTAGACATCTCCCATGCGTACTACAGTGCCTGCCTTTGGCGAGAGCCAGTTTACCTGTTATTTTTGGCCTATACTCCACTATCCATGAGCTTATCCACTGTTTAGCTGTTTATAGGCACACATCAGCATCTTCAAAGTTTTTTTCCTTTTACTTCTCTCAATCCTTACGTTTTGTTTCTGTGGACGCAAAACATCAAACGCCTGGATTCTTTATCACAAGATATGGTTGAACTACGAAAGCGCAAGGCGCCAGCACAAGCCCCTGCGCCAGAGCGAAAGGTCAAGAAAGTTCAGGAATCCACGATATCTCGAGAACCGGATGTCCCTAAGGCCAGTTCCAACGATAAGGCTCCAAAAGTTGGCGACAAACTAGACTTGGACAACTTTGGTGGTGATATTGAGACTAACGATGGCCAAAAAACCACGCTGAAAGATCTTGTCGATGCTAGTAAAGCCGGTGTCGTGCTGTTCACGTACCCCAGAGCTTCAACCCCAGGCTGTACGTGGAAATCTCTACTCCCATTTCTCCATCTTCCCTGAACTCTGCCCTCAGGATAATCTGGTTTGGGTACATACACTCATGATCTCTAATGAATGTACTGTTTCGCGGTTATAATCATCGAAATAATCATCATCTGCGTTTATCTCGGAGAAGCTTATATTTCAAAAGGTACCAAACAGGCCTGTTTGTTTCGTGACAACTATGACTCTATCACGGAGAGTGGTCTATCGATCTACGGCCTTTCAGCGGACTCGCCGAAGGCAAATACCACGTTCAAGGCTAAACAAAGGTTGCCATACCCTCTTCTCTGCAATCCTACCGCTACATTGATAGCAGCTCTTGGACTCAAAAAGTCGCCAAAAGGCACAATTAGAGGAGTCTTTGCTATCGATAAACATGGCAAAGTCTTGATAATACAGGCTGGAGGCCCTGATGCAACGCTTGACGCTGCACGAAAACTGGTTGCAGAATTGAAGGAACAAAGTTCTAAAGACGAAACCCGGCACGCGAGTCCACCAGCTAAGGCTGAATAGTCAAAGTGGGTAACCAGCATTCACTTCAAATCGTTTGCTCCCGTTGAATTGGTAGCTGATGGATTCATAGGTACCAGACATATCGAGACTTTGAAGTGGCCAATTGCTACAAGCACCGTGTGGCATAAGCACTATATGCAGTTCCAAATCATACTCGCAATTCATGCCCCAGAATGTCCCCCACCCGAACTGTAATAGGCCATAGTAGCCCGCTTCTCACACGTGAGCTAGGTTTTACAAGACAATCTGGCCTTTCCTAATATGTGTCCTGTAAATGCATGCTCCCCGGCACTTTTCAAATACAATAATGTTTATTTCTCCATGCGAATAATAGAGCTCTTTGATTCCCACTGCTATCACAAAAGTGGCATTGGATAATCGGGAGAGTGCGACTGTCCGGAAAATAGGTTGTTCCGTGTGTAGAGGCTCGATTCCGCCAGGTCAGGTTCCGTTTGAGACCGCGCGGCGAAGGACGTACCCTTGAAGGTTTCCCATTCCCTTCCCGATATAGTACACAGGTAAATGAACACCCACTATAGCAAACTTGCTTATAATATTAGCAGCTTGAAGGATTAATACGTTATACGGACAGAAAAGGAGTCATGGCTCGCGACATCGTGAAAGCGGCCAAGTCCGCATCCAATGTGATAGCCGTTCATAAGGTAGGATATAGCCATTGGCTGCTCTGTGATAAATTGGGATAGGATATGGTACTTACCTTTTACTAGAAATATACTGTCCAATCCACAGGGATATGGGAACGCATTCGCCGCCTCCTTGCCGTCGACCCGAATCGCTCCACTGGTGTTCCCTTGAACGCTCAGTATCGTCTACCGACCCCTGGAGCTCTTCCTCCTCTATCCTACGATGATCCGGTTACTGTTCCGGCCGGTGATTTGGCTGACAATCCCTACTGGAAACGTGATACTCGGAGGAATTATCCCCGGCTTAGTGCGGTCAGTCAGGCGGATGCTGTTGGCCTTCTCAGTGTAGGCAGTCAAGCTGCCCCCAAGGATGACGTCCTTCAGATCGGTGAGGCAGGAGAGAAACAATTGGTATCTGTCAAGCAACAGGCCGAAGAGCGCGGCCTTGCTGGTCTGTTCGAGAAGGACAAGAATGGAATTAAAGAAGTTCTGGGCGCCAATGGTTTGCCTCCGCTGCCATGCAACTTGAACCCTACTGGTGGTAAATATCAGCTCGGCCATGACCATGGCTATCCCAATATGTAGGTGTGACATGTCCCTCGTTATCTATATTAAGCTAACGCCTTTGATAAGCTACCCCTGCCGCACTTTCGTTTAGCTTGTCTACGCGGCTATTGAGTGCACTACTGAGATAAATGCATTTGTACTTACTTTCCTCCTATCACATGTCCACACTGTTAGACGGTCTGTCGTGATGCTTGTGTATGTTGAAAATATACTATGGTTGTAGATGATACTTGGTGAACTTGTAAATGACTGTAGGTAAGGTCGTTTCTGTATCCCATTGAATTCATCTATCCTATTATTGGGGTAGGCAAAAAAAAAGACCGGTATGTTCACCAAGAAATGGCGCAAGCTTACAGGTACATTCTGCTCCCAATATACCGATCTAAGGAGTTGGACAGAACCATTGGTAGAAGAAACCGCGGATAATTCGTCTACTCTGTTGAGCACATTTGGCTTATTCTGCGTATCTGGGAACAGAATAAGTTTCACACCCAGGATCGCTGGCAATCCGACTAGCTAATCCACTATAACCTAAACACGGGAAGAACGTAAAGATGCCAGGATGAGATCTTGAGGTTCTGTCAATGTATAGTTGTATGACGCATGCTCTATACTCAAGTCTTTATAACTTCAATGGAATTACTAGTTTACGGACGTAGAAAGGAAAGCAATATGCCGAATATATGATCAACTGATATTATCAAAAATGGCATTGTCAAAAATTACATTGAGGCAACAGAAGCTTTAGTAGCTGCTGGAAAATGGATTCGTGCGGGTACCCCACCAAGTAAGGAAGAGACTAAGTCCCACTGTTTCAAACAACCTGCTGACTGCACCTACGGCAACAGTGTCAAGGGGTCTCTTTTCGGCAAAAACCTGGCTCACAACCTACACAAATCAACACAAGATTAGCATATTATAGCTTGCAAGATGGAAAAAGAAAACAAGGGGGTGGGGAGAACATACACCGGGGGCTGCGCTGGCCATGAAGATCAAGCTGCCAAGATAAGCCGCTCCCTTGTAGCTCAAAGTACCTGTGGCGTTGATCAAAGCTGCTACTCCGTATGTCTGGACAGAGCTTCCAACCAAGGAGGTACCCCAGGCTGCTACTGCACCAGCAGCCTCCTTAGATTTAAGGAACTCCTCCTTCGAATTGGCTGCTTGGGCGCGGTGATAGGTATCGCCGAATACGGGCGCGAGAATGCCGAGGGATGCAGTGTGGGTGAAGATAGCACCTGCCGCAATTGCAGAGGGCTTGACTGGAGGGAGGTCTAGGCCAATCACGTTAGTTCATATGAGTTGGGGTTAGAGGGGAAGGTCGTCGTCTACACTGCGAGGACAGGCGAGCACTCACAGTTCAAGGTTGTCATTTTGAAGATAGGCCGATAGGGGCTTGGATGTACAATAGATAAGATGTAGTTTTGAGTGGGATGTTTCGAAGTTGAGAGAATTTATGTCTAGGAAGTAATCTCTTTTCGAGCAAGCAAGTCTCGTTTTATGCCACGGAGCTGGGCTAGGCTGGCCTTTTCAACCCCTAAGTACCGTCACCGGACAAGTCCATAGTCAATCCGTAGTGAGGTACGAAGTGACGTCGTTATGATCGAAAGACACGAGAAGCACAGCACGACGGAGGACGACCTTGAGCATACTTTGTATGGTAGTGCTCTATCATGACATCATACAGTACTTTCAGTGGGCGCAGGATTATTACGTACTTGGCGGAGGGTTGCCGCAATCATACTAGTGCCTGGATTGTTCAGTACCTACTTAGCAGTAGATCTTTACTGCTTGCACTTTAATAGTTACGTCGTGGCAGTATCCACAATCACAGTTGTCTTAGTGATAATTACAACGTACAACTACCCTTTGGTGTAGTCTAATCTGAAAGCTTGCACATTTTTGTACGTTCAAGAATAATAAGTTCATGTTGACTAATTTGCTCGCATGGTTCGTGGTACCTTCGTTTGCCTCTTAGCAGAGGTAGTACTCGCTGCTGAGAGTTTCGAAGTTATCCCAGAAAGAACAGCCAGCACCTGATTAAGGTGCCATTTCAGGTGATTTCGCATATACTTTCATTTTGAGATACAACATCTTTCTGGAAAGAATTTGAATGGCAGATTCCACATCCATATCTGCGTGTTGTTGATCCTGAGGTCCAAGGCGCGCTTTAATATTAATTACCACATCGTATAATTATCTACCAACTCCGCTTACTATCAGACAAGAACAATTTTGTTAATAAGCTATCATGTTTTCGGTGTTGCTAAACAGCGCCTGCTTACCACCGCTCTGTCATCCATTTCCCACCTCTTTCTCTTTTCTCCCTCCTCCCTTACGGTTTTACTCATGATTCATTTTCGTCAGTTTCCTGCCCTTGATATCAGTTATATATGTCCCTTGGCAATTGTTCCTCACCAAGAGCGAACTCCTAATCCAGCTTTACTAATGGTGGACGTTTCCCTGGGTACCTTGTAAGAGTGTGATAACACGCACTTAAATGGGTGATTCCAGACATTAGAAAGCCGATGGGGCAAGTAGGGCGGGAAAAAAAAAAAAGAGTGAAATTAGGACTAACCACTCCGTACCTCCCATTAAACCCAAAGAAAAGAACACTTTCGTTATAACTGAGTGTGAATCCATCAAAATTACTCTTAAAGCGCCCGAAGTTTTTGCTTCATTATATATATCGGCAATACAAGTTGGGTTAACTCTGTGTGCTGTAACAGACCATCATCATTTCTAGTGGAAGATCCTGGTTCAATGCCAGCTGCAATCGACATGGATGATTCGTTAGACATCGATGAATCGTTGATCCCGGTTAGGGATCTCAAGCCTGCCAGTCAGAGCACCATCTCTTTTGATGGGATGTTGTCAAACCCTCTACTTCTCCAGGAGGATCTAAAGGAAGGGTGTGGAGGCCAGCTATGGCCAGCGGGGATGGTCCTGTCGAAGTACTTGCTACGCCAACATCACTCTAGCTTTCTCGGTAAAACAATGTCCGTTGCCCTATAACCCAGTTTTATCTTCACTTACAACCCGCCCTGCTTGTGCCTGGTATGCGGGTAATTGACCCCTGCTGATTGTTGGTTAGAGTTGAACTTGGAGCCGGCGGCGGTCTTGTCGGCCTTGCGCTTGCACGCGGATGTCACCCTGAGATGCCACGTATTTACATTACGGATCAAGCTCCCATGTTGCCCCTTATGAAAACGAACATCAAGCTCAACAATCTTTCTTCTACAGTCGAGGCTACAGTACTAAACTGGGGAGACTCCCTCCCAGACTGCATTCCGAAGCATCCCGCAATTATCCTCGCCGCTGACTGTGTTTACTTTGAGCCCGCCTTCCCGCTTCTAATCTCGACCTTGAACGATCTTCTTGGTCCAGAGTCCGTCTGTTACTTCTGCTTTAAGAGGCGTAGAAGAGCAGACCTTCGTTTCATGAAACATGCAAGGAAGATGTTTGATGTGGACGAGATCCGAGATGACCCTGAAGCGGAGACTTACCGGCGGGAGAACATTTTCCTCTACCAGATACGTCTGAAGTCGAGCAAGAGGGGTGTCTAGATAGTCTAGCTATAGAATAAAACTACTAGGAAGTGATGTATGCGACCCTATCGAAATCCGCTTTTCTCTGGTACATATATCCAATTCGTAACAGCACTGAACCCTAAAGCTTGAGCACATGGCCACCTTCCTTCACACCTTCTTTGATTTTACCGCCATTGATATTCGTCACTTCGCCCTGCTTTCCAATCAATTTGACTCCACCCTTCTTCAAGTCCGACATGAGCTGCTGTTTCTCAGCCGCTTTCCCTGTCTTCTGAGATTTTGCGGTGCTAGCGATTTGCTTCTTGTGCTCTCGCCTCAACTTAGCCTTTTGTTCCCGGGTCATTTCCTCTTTGGCGATTGCCGTTCCATTCTTCAAAATCATTTCACCAGCGACTTTGTTATCGTCGCCAGGTGCGTAGATCTCCTGCGGCGCAAGGGTTGCCGTCCCATTGACAGCGTTGCTGGCTGTCGGCTGAGCATCCTCCATAGTAATTGTTGCCACATCGGTGACAACATTGATGCTTGCCTGCGGAGCCTTGGGCTTGTAATGCCAGTTTGAGAGCGTGTCTAATTGAGAGCTGATCTCTTTCCATAAACTTGTCACAGTAGCATGCTCGCGGATCAACTTCTGATTTTTAGGGTCAACGAAGTTTGGATCAGTAGCACGAAGATGGTCGGCCTCATATAATTCAGCAAGACTCTGCTGGGGTTTGGTATCTTCCAATTCAGGACGGCTTCCCCGTGCGCTCAGTGCGTCGGAAACACCAGGGCGACGTCGTATTACTTCGTCAAATTGTTTGGCGAGAATCCGACGCTTGATAAGCTCTTCAATATCCTCTGACATCTCTGCTGTGACGACTGGCACGGGCTTTCCGATTCTTTCGAAATCCAGGTCTTCTTCAATAAGCGAGTTAACAGGCCTTTCGACAGCCCTGGCTTCACCAGCTAGCATCCAATCCTTCTTGGCAACGTTTGCAGCCTCCAAACGGCGAATCTCATCAGCAATGCGAGCACGCTGCTTCTCATGACTAGAATAATTGATCTGAGATCCTCGCGCTACTTCATGTTCATCACTGTCTTCACCGGAAGGTTCGTCTTCAAAGAGATCACGGCGAACATCAGCCATGGCACGATCAACGTCGTCGTTGGTAATAGCAATATCAGGCTGAGTTTTGGGAAGGGAGCGAGACTTTTTGCGAGTAACTTTACGCGGAGGAGGCGCGAAGAAGTCAGAATACTTTATGTCGCTAGTGTTTATCCAACCTTCGCCTCCGGAGTTTGTGGCATAGACATTATCTTCGTCCATATCGGAATCGTCCTCAAGGCCTGCATCCCCAAATGTTGGTCCCTCCTCTTCACTGTCAGACATATTCTCGTCACCATTCCCGTCAGAGTTCTCCTGTGGCATGTCTCCCTTCGGTAAAGACATTGACCCTGTCGTACTAAGAGGATTTGCGTGCCAATCGATTTCATCATCCTCGCTCTCAAAATCATTGTCTGGACCACCACTAACGTCTTGTCTTTCGAGTAGTTCCGATTGCTTGTTGAAATCATCTATCGAGAAGAAACCATCATTCAAGCCGAAGGGATCCTCCACATACGTTTCTTGTTCACCTTCGTCGATGTCGCTTCCGGGAATATTGTCGGATAATTTTTCAATGTCTTCTTCGACGTCTGAATCATCGTGGGGGGAGGTTTCAGAGTGATCGTGTACTGAACTAAAGTCGTCATCATCGATACTCGATCGGGTAAGATCGGTCTCTGACTGAGAGTCGAGGTTGCTGCCCTCTAATTCGGCGTCATCAAGAGCCAAATCATAAGTTGAGGTCAGGGGCGGGTCGTATGGTTTGGACACTGCAGACCACCAAGTAAAATCCCGCTCAACCTCACCACCTGAAGAATCAAGGATTCTCAGGGCTTGTTGCCATATCTGGTCAGAAGTAAAGCCATCGACATAAAGTTGCTTGAGCTGCAGGGCCTGGCTTGTAGAACCTTCCTCAACTTCGGACCTTTTGCGCTTTCTATTCCTGCGTTGGCGTGCACATTGGGAATCGCCGACCGACGAAGCCAACGAATCTAAATAGTACTTCACAGAGCCAGTGATAGTAGTTTTCAACTCAGTCGTGGGTTGGAGGAAAATCCAGGGAGTCGTCAACCCCGATCTGAACGAAGTAATCGGTTCATGGGTTTGGACTTCAGAAAGAGCTTCAGAGTGATCGGGAACGAGGTTCTTCATGGCGCGGTACACGCCTGACATGAGACAGCTGTATCAAAGAACGAGAAACGGAAAGTCAGATTAAAGAAACGAGAAATATTGAAATGGTAGGTGTGATCAGACTGGTATTTAAAAAAGAACTGCCTGGTATTTTTTTAGCTGGTGGGCACTTCAAATAAAGGTTGAGGAAGCTGTAAGTCGGGGGAAAAAAAAAAAAAAAGTATGAAAGTGAAAGGGGAAACTAAGATAATCAGTTACTTTGGGTCATAAAAGTGGGGACAGTGGAAAGAAGGCAAGCTCGGGCCATGGCCATGGCCATGTCCTTTGGACATCTCGTTACAAAATGCTCCTTGTGATAAATGCAGCGTCGCATGGCAAGTCTTATCGTATAGCTGACTTATGTGGGCATACAAGCCATATATATAGGATATGGGATTTCTGTCCCATAACGATAAACTCGATCGTTTCTATCGTTGATTTGGTACACTCTTAAAGAGGTTCCTTACCGATTCCTACGAGGTACCATGGCAGAAAACATGCGTGAAAGATACTGTTTGCAAAATATGATTCTAAAGCACTACGAGAAACCCTGCTGGACATATGAAATCTCGCTCAAAAGCCCCTAATATTACTCTCTCTAATCGTAGAGATACCACCGCTATTGATGGCTTGTGATATTGGGTCGGTGGGCATACTCTACATGAATATGAGCCTTGCGGAAAGACGACACGTTTTGAAAAGCTACCCTTCCACCTCCACCGTTACTGATGATTGGAGTCCTTTCATGCGTGGGCATGCCAAAAATTTGCGCCCCTAATGAAAATGTTGAGAAGTGACTTGTCATTGGATAGTCCTTGACCCTGCAGTCTCTAAGTATATATTTTGATGAAAGCGAGGAAGCATTCTAGCATTAAGGCGCGCACTATGCATGAGCCAAACAGTGGTGGTTTTTTAAGATCTGTTGAAGCATTATTAACACCACGATACAATACAGTCTAGTGTGAGCCGTACAACAGCGCAGAGTAACATAGGAGTGAATTTGCAGTTTAGTACCTAACCCCGTTCTAATATACCTAGGAAAGTGGCTTGCAATCATTGCATACAATACATGTTGGCCAGATTTCTTTGCTCAACCATGAACATGACACACCTAGTATGTCTGTTCGAAGTAAAGCCTCCCCTTCCTTTTATCCCTCCCTCTATCAATTGTGCGCCGGTAGGGTTCGGTAATCCATGAGAGCGCACACTTGATTTGCAGGATGAGACTCCTTATATAGTCTGCGTCCGAACCTGTCCCTTCCAACCCTTGAGAATATAGGGAGGTAGTCAATTTGAAGTTGAGCTTAACGGCGATACCACATGCGGGTGATCCTTGTGTGCCGCATCTTCTTTTGAAGTTGAAAGATGCCGTACATCAATGCTTCGGAGGTTGGCGGACCTTGAGTTGTTCCCGTTAGCCGCCGTTACTGCAGAGATGATGAAGGGTATACGAACATCCGGGAACGTAGACATCCACGGGTACAATTCTGTCGCATCCGCGAACAACAGAATAACTGTAATGGTAATAACCACCACCATTTGCGCAACTCCCCATACTGACAACCCAACGAGGGTCAGGCATTTGGTCATACACCTGTCTGAGAGCGGGAGCCATCTTATTTGTCAATGTGCCTGCCACGATCATCACATCCGATTGCCGCGGTGATGCTCTGAAAATGATTCCTAGACGATCCTGGTCATATCTGGGGGTCGAAAGATGCATCATCTCAACTGCACAGCAGGCGAGGCCAAAAGTCATAGGCCACAAAGAACTTTGGCGTGCCCAGTTAGCGACTTGGTCAAGCGTGGTACTACAGATGAATCAGTACAAAAGATATTCGTCTCATGCGTCTCAGGTAACGAACAGGACATATTGCATAGCACCCTCCTTTTTCTCCTGGCTCGGCAAGGGCACCTCTTTCCGCACCTTTCCAGAAGCAGTGAGTGCTTGGCCAGACTGTCCCCGCTGTTCGATTGCTGTTGCCGACTTGACTGAAGAGGTCGAAAGGAATGAAACTGGCTGGGTTCGGAATTGGCAAGATGTGATACGCGGTCGCACTACCTGACTTTAGCAACTTAGTGGTAACAATGAGGAGAACACTTACCATGAAGAGCGTTTGGGATGGCGCCTGGAATGGCGCGACCGGTGAGAGGCAGCATGGCTGTATCGCTCCCAATATCAAGGTGCACAGAGATATAAAAGAAATACCTTGCGTGCAAACCTGTATGAACTGTCAAAGGAGTGGAGGCTTGTCGTCCAGTCGGTCAATGGTGGCAAGATATTATCAGAATAGTCGAGGCTCAAATTAAGAGTATCATTCTGCACTATTGGTACTAATGGAACGCAATTTCCGTAAATTACTGTAACAAAACATGATTAAGTTAGTTTAGCTTAGTGTATTGCAATTAATATCTGTATAATACAGTATTGGCACGTGAGCCACGGGCAACCGGCTAACATTGTGCTAGTGTAAGTTAGATTCTGGAGAGCTTCATTGGCTGAAGTCATCAAGACTCAGTATTCGAATCCCTTATCTTGGACAGCACATGGATCTCATCGCTGGGTGAAGCGAAGTACTATAGATGGATGTAGGTGAAGAGTATTCCGTAACAGAAACATTAGTAGTTTAATAATATCGATAGGTGACCTGGCAGTCTGGGTTGTATTAAAAGCAACGCCTTTCTACAGTGGGTGTATCTGAATAGAGGATTCATAATGTGGGCTCTCTTTCAGGTCGATATCGTACAGATCAGGGTCGAATAATGCAGCAAGTATTCATAAATTTGAGGTTTTGGTGGTAGCCTCGGACGGTTTCCATGAGGATTTCGAAGATATAGATTACCGTTTAGTGAAGTCAACAGATAATGAAATCCACAAGTGGACCTGCAACAAAATACACCCCTCCTATCTCCAAACCCTGAAGACTTGACTGGACTGACTTTCCGATTATAGGTTCTACGTGGTTAATATGGAGATCTTCCGAAATACCACTTTTCCTATCCTCCATTGGGAATGTAAGAGTAAGAGTAGAGATGGATACTTTACAATGTACAATAGAAAGAATGTGATTCACTTGAATAGATCAAAGTTTGAAAAACTATACTGTACTTCTGTCTTTGCTTTGGGAAATTTAGGCCCTTACAATATAAGTAATGGTTCAGGCGTAAGAACCTAGAAATGTATCTTTGCCAGTGAGGTGGCTCAAACATGTGGCTGATCCGCTTGTGGATTACGTTAGTGAACTAGTATTTATGGGGTGTTCATGGGTGGGTTAGGTATCATTGACATAACTGGCTCAGCCCCTAGATTTGCGACTGGACTACTAAGTATTTCTCCGACACACAGGAATCAGGAGATCTCGAGTGTCAAAAACGATGAAATTGACGGCCCTTATCAAATCAGTGGCATAGATTTCTTTGGCAGGCCATAACTGACCTGGAACAATGGCTTTGCCAAAGATCGCCTGTATCGGCGTCATTGGGAAAGCTGTGAGTCTTCATATCCTTCATTTGCTACGCCAATCTTAATGTAGGAATTAGGATAATCCACTCCACGTGTCGCTCTTCCCCCCTTATCTGGAGTCCACTATTGAGTTCTCCTTTATATTGAACTCCTGCCTTGATATCTTTGAAATACGCCGTAAACAGACGTCAATTGACCAAGATCTGGGTCTTTTGCAAGCTGTCGATGAGAGACTCGCAGCATATGGCTGGCTTTCTACAACGGGGGTCAAATTCCTAGTTATAGTTGACTTGATCGGGCAGCCCATCGTTGATGAAGATCCGAAAGGTTCAACTAAGTCGGAATTAAGGGAATTCGACCTAAAAGCAGTACGTTCTTGTGTTTCATCCTGCATTCGAAGTCCTACATGTTGAATAATCCACAAGATTTTAGACATCAATCACTAATGGCGCATACCCTGCAGGTTTTCCGAACTCTCCAAACCGCATATGTGCAGTTGCTACAGAATCCGTTTTATCGACCGGACGAGCATACGGCCACAGCGAAAGCCGTGTCATCATACAGTTCGCAGATCACAGATCAGAGGTTCATCAATGAGGTCAACCGAATCGGAAACTCATGGCTTCCGACTGTGACTCCCTTTTAACAAACAATGAGACCCATTCTATGTGGCAAACAACCTACCGGTCTACACAGTATCTTCGAAGGATCTCGAACTCGAAGATCACATGTAAAATTGATGACTCCCACCCTTGGTGTTTGCCAATAATTATTGGTGTAGTACGTACAGGTTTCAGTATAGCATTCTCCACCGTACAGCATCTGGCCCAGGATAACGATACTTCTCGTGGGCCCCCGGCACTTGTGGGGGATCCATCGATCGCAAAGTACCTAACACCCAATGTCTAGCCAGTGCATTGTACAATGCTACTCTATGTACTATGAGAGGTGTCCAAAATGTGATAAGAGAATTGAGGAGTCAAGACGATTCAACCAATCCGGTCACCATGGGATTGGTATATAGTGGAAACAAAGCTTCTGGGGCGAAGCACCTCGCACGAGTCATCCTTTTCGATCATGTGAAGTGTCACTCTCAGTCTTGTCCAACGCAGAAAGGACATTCGCTATCTCCAGGGGGTCAGATATCGACCAAACACCGCCGCCTTTCACCATAACCTTACCGACCTCTTTCCCAACCAGATTTCTACCGACTTTTCCAGGTCCGATGCCAATCCAGCGTGTTACTGCATGGGTCTGATCTAGGTATCGGATGCTATCCCACCATTTTACCGTATCGACACACTGCTGTGATAATAAAACTCTGAGTTCTTCCTTGGATTTGAACGGTAAGCCCGAAACGTTCGAGATACATGGCATTCGTGCTGGGAAATTGATATTCATATGTTCAAGGGCACTTTTCATGTAGTTGGCTGCTGGTATCATAATGGGACTGTGAAACGGACTTTCGCATCTCAATCTCACCGCACGAGGATCGTGTCCTCCAAATTGACGAAGCTGGATAAGCAGATCCTTTATTTTTGCAATGTTGCCGCTTAGTACAATCTGATTCCTTGAATTGATATTTGCCACCATCACTTGTTGGAATGCCTTGTACCATTGGCTCGAGTCATCTTTCAAAATTGATGGGCCAAGTCCAATAAAATCGTAAATGGTAGAAAGCAATTCACTCATATGCTCGGGCTCACAGACAAGTGCTATCATGCCAAATTCATCCCCTGATCTCTTGGTAGCATCTCGCGTGCACTCGGACATAATCTCTGCACGCCGTCTCACCAACTTCAGTGCATCGCTAAAAGCGAGGTAACCTCCAGCAACAAGTGCCGAGAACTCGCCCAAACTATGTCCGAGCGTAACACTCACTCGTGAGCTTGTCATGAAGCCGAACTCCTCTTCAAGTATTCGAAGAATTAGTATTGAGGTTGCCATTATAGCCGGCTGACAATTTTCGGTCTTATCGAGCTCCGAATTTGGTCCTTCTGAAATGGTATGAGACAATTTGAACCCCAAGATCGAATCCATTTCATCTAGGAATCTGTTGGATATTTTGGGGAACTTCTCAACCCAAGAGCTTGCCATCCCCACACGCTGTACACCATGACCTGCACGGTGAAGGCGTCAGAACAAAGGCGAGTTCGAGATACAGGGTATGCAAACCAGGAAAGAAGAGAGCTGTGCGCAAGGCCGTCTCTGCGGGAATGAGGTTGGCATAATTTCGTTGGAAACTAGGTTTTAGCTGGGTACGACAATGAACATGGTATCGGGTTGCTTTTATGCCCAAAGATAGTCTTGATTTTGATGATAACGCAAGCATTTTTTGTAGGCCTTAGGAAGATAAATGCCCTTACTGTTATCGCAGAACATAGCCTTCAGATGCCATCGGCAAACAATAATGGTTCTTACAAATAAATCCACGCTGCTTTCAACTGTAAGTGCAGCAACAATAGCCGTGACACGAACTGGAATATTGTAAATCACGTGATATGGAGTACCAACAGCCATAGGTGGTGTTGGTGGTGGGCGGATTCTGTATTAACCCCCAAGATTCCGGGGCTGTTGGATGATGGGTATACGGAGGAGATATATGGGTATGTATCCTCTATGTATTACTGGACTAGTGCCCGATAGCACAAGTTTCAGAGCGTAAAGACGATGTAAAAGAAGGAGAATGTTTACGTGGAATCACAATCTGCTCTATGATATCGAGTACTAAACCGATAGACTATTCAACAAGTATGAACAGGGACTGAAGCATGTTTACATTACTAAGTAGAGTAAGTGCCATTCTGTTTAGTAGAACTAACTCTGCAGGTATCTATGGGAGTCTGGATTCCTATCCGACCTGCTGACCGCCTTCGGAGTGAATTAAACCTCCATGCCTACCTATCATTATGGCTATTTAAATAATATATTGTTTACATATAAAGATTTATATCATTCTCCATCACGAAAGGAGCGTGTTACGGCTACATTTCAGATGCGCGCTTCTGGGCCCAGAAAGCTACACAGGGTCTCCTTAGTACACATTTAGCTCGTGTCTGATCCTAAAAAATGTTTGTACCTAAGGCGCTCTCATCCGCAGCTTCTCAGCGCAACCCCCGGAGGCGTCAGCGTACGAACTCAGACGAATCACCAAAACCTCCTAGTGCGAAAAGACAAAGATCTAATCTCCGTCAAAACGACTTGGTACCAGCCTCTCAAAATTTGAACAACAATCATGCCAAGCTCGAATTCCAGGAACGCCAGCAGTCAACTTTATCTAACGAAGGTGTCGCAATTTCAGAAACTGCTCACATCCACAGGAACATTCCTATAAGAGCTGTCAAAAGACCCGAGAAGCGCGAAGATGAAGCCGAAGGAACAGTGGTGCTCGTAAGTGGTTCTCGGTCTCTATCCTGTCTACAAGTTCCTTGGATCAGCCATCTGACATAGGTTTATGCATAGTCAAAAACGGAGTTCTACACCGTCACCCAGCTACCCACTCTGCCAGACCAGGTGCTTGGTTTACAAACAGGCGAGTACTGTTGACCCCTTCGCTGTTACGACTACAATAACACAGACGTGCAGGGCCTTTTAGAGGTTCGTTTGGAACCAGTCATGGATATGCTTTGGCTTTAACCAAATCGCATGCTATTGTCTGGGCATATTCGAACACAGCTCCATCGCCTTCTCCTGCAGATGTTTTCACACTTACAATACCCGAGTCCTGCAAAGAGCCCGGTAACACTGCCCCCCTTGGGTTGCTCTTGTCTACCGTTGCAGGCGGGGTTCCGGGGTTGATGGTGGTCATGCCATATACCGGAAAAATAATATACTGGGAAACCATATCAAGCGCTGCAACCTTAGCTTTCTCCAGACAGAAGCATTCTGGCATCCAAGGCTGTGTCCCTGGCTTACTCTCAGGCGAGCATGCTACAGACGTGATAAATAGCGAGCCTTCTGGTGTCGTTGTTCTATTTTCTACTGGAAGGGTTGCTCATATAACCACCAGAGATAGTCAAGGAAAACCAGCAGTTACTGTTTCTTTCCTGAGAAGCCCGGCAGGTGGCGGTAGACCCGGTTTATTTGGAAGCTTGAGAAATGCTCTTGGAGGTGGCTTTTACAGAAAAGACATCGCTACAGTTCGAGCGGGCGAATCTCATCAGCGTGGGCAACGAGATGTTGTAATAGCTACGTCTCTAGGTCTCTTCGAAATTTGGGATACCCACTGGAACAACGGGAGCATCCTCAAGCATCAGTTTGATGTATATGATCTCTTGAGTGAAGCACTCGGACCTCTCATCGTGGGTCAAGCCGACGATTATAGGTTGAAGGTCTTAGATTTTGTCTTGGCCGACTGCAAAAGCACTAATCCTCGTGACGGGCCCAATTCCTCGCTGGTAACAGCGGTTGTGGTTTCTGTCTTACAATCCGCCCCCGGCATCGTTCGGGACATGTTTGTCGTCCAAATGCGATTTTCAGACGATGTCCAAATCTTATCTACTAATACGATAGATTTTCATGGACTACGTACTCACCTCGACCTTCCGCGAGTCAGGCTGTTTGTACCAAGTCCCGGACATACCGCTTTCATTGTGGTTGGGCAGTCAATTGTGTTGCTATCGTTGGCCATTCCGGAACATCTTACTATTGCTCAGGAAACGGTTCCCATAACTCAGCAAGAGCGAGCGTTCAAGGATATTATTCCTTTACGTTCTGGAGAGAGTTACGAAATTTTAGGAAGCGGATATGAAAACCAGAATGGTGAAGGCTCGTTGGCCGCATGTCTACTGATGGTTCGAGATTTTGGAATCATTCGTATCGCAGCTTTTCCGAGTGAAAGAACAAAGAGCAACGTTGATGATGGCCGTATCACTGCGAAGCATAAAATTGAACAGGCTATATTCTATGGCACAATGACAAAAAACCCACTGAATCTTACAGGTAATGATGGAATAGGATTTCCAATCAATGAGACGGAGGATGCTGCATTGGAAATATGCCAGGAATTAATGCGGTCTGCATCGGATTTCATTCCATCGACTGGGATTTCCGTGGATCAGAATTTGAAACTGCGAGCGAAAGCACTCGACGACCTCGCCCTCTTGTTGACACAGCAGAATGAGACTATCCGCCGGGAAGTCTGGTGGCAGTTACTTTGGAGTGCGGAGAAACTGGCTGCTCAAAGAGCCATGTGGAAGTTGGAAGACGAAGCCAGGAAATGCGCGAGCAAAAATTCAACACTGCTGGCGCACATAATCGGGTTAATGAGCGAGAAGTTCAAAACGAAGATAGAAGAGCAGACCGGTGAGTGCGACCCAGTGCGCCATTGGTTTCTGTATGATACTTTTCAGATGGAACATATCGTGCCGTGGGTCTTTCACGCCATCAAGCCTCAAAAGGGGAGCTCTTCAAAACCAGGACGACGGATGTCAGAGCAGCTACTCGAAGCTAGTGACTTGTCATTAGCAGTTCTGGAGACAGCGTTTCGTTATCGAGACGAGAATTCAAGCCGGTACGGTATTGGCGATGGTTATCTGGAGAACGGCATATTGACGGGTGACTACACTGGTCTTTCGGAGTTTTGGACTTCTCAGCGCTATTGTTACATTGAATTTGGACATCTGCTGGATCTGGAGCTTGATAGCTGCAGGGCTTGGATCCAGAAAACAACGATTGGTGTTGAGCTACCTGAAACTCAAACAGTGAGAAGGATCGCCAGAAATAGTTCCAGGCAGCTTCAGATTCTGGGGCTCATGCACACTGAACGAGTCCGGTGGCTTTCGGCCCAAGAGAATCAGAAACTTATCGACGAAAGCATTGCGACTAAACAAGCTCACATCAAGCAACGGAAATGGCAGCTATTCAAGTTGGCCGGAATAGGACACCTAGATGATGCCATTATGCTTGCCGAACAGTTCCGAGACATGGGAGCGCTCGTGGAACTCATAATCGAGCTTCAGGACCAAACCAAGAGCCTCGTGACGCATCAAGATTCGCCAAACAAAAATGCAGGTGCCGACGAGAATGCATCTGAGCGACTCAGTCAAAAGATCTCCTTTTACTTCGAAAAATTCGGGGAATCATGGGCCGATTCCTTCTTCTCCCGACAGATCTCCATGGGTCAATCTGGGATACTTTTTGCGATGAAAAAGTTTCAGCCCTTCGTCACTCGGTTCTTGCGGAAACATCCGGCTTATCTGCGGCTGGGCTGGATCAATGATGTGATCGGCGAGAATGACTATGAGGGCGCTGCTCGGTCCTTGGAGAAGCTTGCCACGAAGCATGAATCAGATATATGGAGTCATCGTGTTGAGTTGTCTCTAGCAAAGCTTGCAAATCTTGCTGTCTGGGAGGAGTCTCGAATGCCAGATAGTCTAGTCGTTCGCAGGAACGTCAGACGTTTGGAAGATCTTGCGGAGGTTGATGCTGTTCAAGAAGTCATTTTCGCCTATGTCTCGCCCGCGTTACACAGTGCAATTGATCAGAAAGCGGAGATTGATATCGCGATCGAACAATTTCGCAACCCAGCAGCCGCGGATAGGCCTTCCTTGCACGAGATATTTAGCGAGGCTCTGGCTAAGATTGTCACTCGACAAGTCCTCGATTCGGATGAATTAGTCGACCTGCTAACGCACATATACCTATCCCAGGCCTCTGAGCAAGGTCAGGATGAAATCGTGGGGAAACAATTTTACCTAGCTTTGCGGATTATCCGACTCTCTTACGATCAGCGAGATCCACAATACCATGCAGCACTGCAGAAATTAGTATGGAGAAGATGCATGATAGATAACAATTGGGAAAGAATGGAAGAGGCAGCTGAGGGATTGGGAATGGACACCGAAAGTTTCCTCTATGCTACCACACTCTCACGTACCCTTTGTTGGTGCCTCAGGGACGGTATGAAGTCGACTAGTACAGAATGTTTACGAGCATCTTACTAACTCTTTACAGGCCTTGATGAAAACTCTAACTATCCTTCTATATACGTCCCTAACGGTCCACACGACGTGTTGCTAAGCGAGTCTGACGCTGATCTTATTACAACGCGTTTTCCACCTGAGCGGCGTGCCCGCATCTCTCGTGATCTTGCCAGGGAGAACGAAATCTTACTTCAGCAGATCGAAAAAGGAAAGCTTGATTTTTGGTTCAAGAACCTTTTTGACTCAGCCAAGGCCACGCGTCAAGGGCCTTCTGGGCTTTCTGCCGACGATGATAAGAATGGCACTGCGCATAATGAAACGCAACACGATTCATCAACCGAGAAGGCACAGCTGAGTTGGCTTTAGGGTTTTAGAACAACTCTCAACAATATTCGAGTTCTTTGCTAGTGCGTTTACGCTAGAAATGGACTAAATGGTTGCAGGCATGCCCTTCTTCCACTCCGCCCCTCTATACTTCCTTAGTAATACTTTTCTGGCGCTTGACATGTTCTCAGTATCTTCTAGCAATGCAATTGTCTGATATTAAGCCCCCAGTATTTTAGGCGAGGCTGCAGCATCTGTTTCTGCATATTTAAGGGTTTGTTCTGTTCGAGCAAGGCACCTCGATCGCACAGCGCAGTCAAACTACTATCTCGTTGGATTTCCTAGCACAGGTCATTGATAACCTATAGATGGACGTCACCTTTCATACATAGCTCTTGCTGGTTTACCCTGTCTCAGTGAAGTCACTCTTGAACAAATCTCATCTTGATCCCTGGCTACCTCACCCGATATAGCTATGGCTTGTTCCAAATGACTTCACTACCTTCGGTGTTATCGCTGTTGATGCTATCAAGTTTTCTTACCATGTCGTCATCCGGAGGAAGGGCATCGGGCCCATGCACGTTTTCTTCAAAAACTGGCTCTGGTTCAACGGCCTCGAACTTTGTCTTGAAGTCCGCAATGCCCTGAGCGCTACTGTTTGAGTGGCGTCGTGTGTTCGTAAAATTGTAGCCATAGTCGTGCACTTCATCGCCAGAGCGGCCCCTGGAGGAGGGTCACTGGATATTTCCATGGGCCACGATGGAGATGCCAAAGTTTAGTAAACTAACCAGTTTCGTTTTCCGCCTCCATCTTTCTTTGTCTTCCGGGGATCAGCATCCACTGGTCCTGACTTGGCAAAATAGCGGGGAAGACTCTCTTGAGCAACAATTTCCCCTTCGTGCAATGCCGAATGATCGGGCTCGTTGGTTTTGTGCGATCGTGTCACTGGGGAATCAACCATTGAGTGCGGATTTCAACTAAGCCTGGCTCTTCGGTGTGCATTCAATAATATGCGCACCAATATAGCTCTTATGAACAGTATGCAGACAAGTCAAGAAATGCTTACTTTTCATATGGCAGGGGCTTCTGCTTTCTTTCAATCGAGGAAACTAGCCACACAATTAGTGCCTCATCATCCAGCGAAGCAAATGATCGATATACATACATACCTTTCTCAATATGAGAAACTTATCTCTATTCAAAAGATGGTGTCTGTATACTACAGTGAATGGTTAACATAAACGGGGCTTGCATTTTACGAGCACGAAACATACTTAACAGCCCACTGTTTCCAGTGGAATTTAGCAATTGGTTTGCCAAACAGTGAAGTTGGGATATTGGGTTGTTAGAATGTTGTTGTGTTACTGTTGGGGACCTAGTGATGTAGTGATTGGGCATGAAATGATAAGCAACTTCACACTCGCAGGGGGGGCCGGCTTTTATATGCAAATCTGTACCAAATTATATCATTGTACTTGGATGTTGAGGAATGCATTACTGGGAGCATGTGACTGGGACTTCTATTATTGTATGGAGCTCTTATGACCTCATTGACTTGTAATGCATTGATGTACCAAAAGTAGTAATGCGATCACCTGTAGGCGCTAATTTAATTGGTTGACGAATGCACCAAGGGCCCACAGAATTGTGAGATTTGACTCCATGCAGGCTACGTACTAAAAGAAACACATGATGCCCGTGTGATCTGGGTTGTCAGGTTGCCAGGTTGCCAGGTCGTAGGTATCTTTTTGCATGATGGGTAAGGGACCAGGTGACTATCAGTATTACTTTAAAAAAATAAGTGGATATATAAATTACAATATTGTCATAGGTAATGTATGAACCTATATCCCAACAACCCTCGCAATATCCTATATCACGAGAAATACCTATACTGGTATCAGTCCTATTACAGGACTTGGCTGGTATGATTTATCTATGAATAAGATTCTCTTTATAAATGAAAAATCAAATTAGTAATGATAATATTCTAAGAAAATACAACTTTATATTAATACTTTGTAATAGATATATATTTTTAAATTATTTTACTATATTTACTCTTCAAATATTTTTACTTGAACCCCGCAAGATATTTTTATATGGAAAAAATACTAAAAATTATATTTATAAAAAGCCACCGGGCTTCCTGGATACTTTTAAAATCATTATAGAAAATGTTATAAAGAATCCTAGAAAAATAAATTTTTTTGATGATTTCTTATAAATAGCTTAATTTATTTAGATGGATTGTAAATCTGGAATTAAGATTAGGAAATATTATAAGATTTAATAAATCTATAAAAATGTGAATGGTTCCAATTAATCTATCAAAAATTTTAAATAAATTAATATTTATGTATTTTTATATAAGGTAGGGAACAGACTTCTACTAATTATAAATATAAATTTATCAGTCTTGATATATATTTGATTTTTCTAAAATCAAAATATAATATTATTCTTTATAGATATATTTTCTAATTTATAAAACTTTCATAAATTCTTATTAACAAAAACCTAGTTTTATTTTTTTTCTCATGGAGTTTCTTTATGAGATCTGTAAACAGGCTGGTTATTTATGAATATCTTTATATAACTTATAGCATTTCTTTTATATTTTATAGTTTTAATTATTTATAGATTATCTAAATTTATTTTAGTTTTATCCGCATGCCTTCATAGCTGATAATAAAATCTAGGAAATTAATCTCTATTTTTATAAAATAATATCTACTAAAATTTATATATAATCCTTTTTTTAAAAAAATAAGATATTTTATAAATCTTTTTTTTATGTATTTCCAGGTCTTATAAATATATAATAATATTATTTAAATAAATAATAATAAACTAATCTATATGCTTTATGAATAGTAAATTCATGAAAATCTATAATTTTATAGAGATATTAATCAGTTTTAAAAATATGATTATATGATT